GAGACATATATAACAGTGACAACTGAAGCACTGTTTGTTGAGAGTAGAAAACTAGACACAACCTAAATATCAAGCAAGAGGTAAATAAATAAGTAAAACACTGTCTGGCAAAACTTTCTGAGAACATGAAGCGTTCTCTGCCCATGCAGTCTAATATGGTAGCCACCAGTCACAGGTGCCTAATAAATACTCAAAATGTGGCAGAGTGACTAATTGAAATTTTTTTTTAATTTTGATTAATTGAAGTCTAAACAGCCACATGTGGCTAATGGCTACCACATCAGACAGCATGGCTATAGCAGTGAAATTAAGTGAATTCAAGTTACATATGTGTAAATGTAGATACATTGCAAAAGCATTACATTCGACAAGAAAAACAAGTTTCAGAAGGTAATGGCTGGGACTAGAGTGAAACAAGCAGTGTAGAGTTTAAACTTTAGGAGGCACTCACCCTCAGGGTTGTACACTAGGTACAGGATGGACACTTGTGTGACCCCGAGAGTGAACGCCTCCTTAAATTTTGGGCCCCAAGTGCCTTGCTTGTCTCACCTTGTAAGTAGATATTCGGTATGCTGTGTCAGGTGTCCCCAAGATCATCCTGGGTTCAATGATCCACAAGGACTCACAGGATTTAGCAAATAGCTGACACACAGCTATATGGTTTCTTACAGTGAAAGGGTACAGAGCAAAATCAGCCAAGGAAAAAGGTACAGGGTGCAAAGTCTAGAGGAAATCAGGCACAAGATTCCAAGAATCCTCTCCTAGTGAAGTCATGTGGGATGCACTTAGTTCCTACGGGAAAGCTGTGATAACACGTGTGAACTGTTGCCCACTAACGGAAGCTCATTAGAGACTCAATGCCCAGAGTATTTTTGGGGGGCTGGTCAAGTACCAAAATTCCAGATTCCAAAAGGAAAGGAGGTATTCAACCACATTGTACAGTTTAGGCACCATGAGGTGCTCTTATCATTTACGAGATGACAGAAACTTGGGATCCCTGGGTGGCTCAGCGGTTTAGTGCCTGCCTTCAGCCCAGGGCATGATCCTGGAGTCTCGGGATCAGAGTCCCACATCAGGCTCACTGCATGGAGCCTGCTTCTCCCTCTGCCTGTGTGTGTCTCTGCCTCTCTCTCTCTCTGTCTCCAATGAATAAATAAATAAAATCTTAAAAAAAAAAAAAAAAAGATGACAGGAACCCTCCTGAAATCCAAGTTCCTCGAGACCAGTGATAGGCCAACCTCACAAACAGGCCTTTCCAAGACAGCAGTCCCATGCCTAAAATGTTAACTATTTTTTGCACAAATTTATATAAAATTGTAGAACACGATATATAATTCTACATGTTGTTTAAGGACACATGTATATAAAGACGTACAAATATACACAAAATCTAGAGTTGTAGTTACATTTGAGGAAAAGGAGAAAAGACCGAGGCAGGGTTACACAAGACCTTTCAACTGCATCTCTAAATGTTTGACTCCTTAAGCTGGTTTAATGGGCAAAAATATATTTTGTTGTGCAAAAGTTTGTTTCCACATTCAAGGTACTTTATTAAGCCCTTTATACAAATTAATTTGTTTAAATACACTTAGAGGTCAATGTGAGGCAGCAGAGATCTGTGCCCTCAACCAGTTGTCAGTCTACTGAGGGATGATGAGAGAGAAGCATAGTCTAAAACCAATTTAAGTACTGGATCTGAACGCTACTAAGATAATAAAGCAGGGTGATGTCATTAAGGAAGGGCTGCTTTAACTAGAGTGATCTGGGAAGGCTTGAGGGGGACGTTTGAGAACCGTAAGTAGTGACAATGAGAAAGCCATGCAATTGTCTAAAGACAGCACAACATTCCAGGCAGAGGGAACAGCAAGTGCAAAGCCCTGGGCAGGAATCAGCTTGGTGTGTTAAAGACAGTAAATAAGGCCAGGAAGGCTGGAGAGTGGTGACAAGGGGAAGACTGGTAGATGAGGCCTGAGAGGTCAGCTGAGGTCACCATGCAGGGCCTCCTAAGCCACAGTAAAGATCTTAGGTTTCATTCTAAGTATGATAAGCCTTTGAAGGTTTTAAGCAGGGTAATGACATGATCTGGTTTACAATAGAAGATTATTCAGCCAGCTGTATGGAGAATTCATTACAGGCAGAGAGCCATTTTCTTCATCAGCACCCAGACAAAGTGCCTGTGGCTGATGAGGTTCTCAGGGGGTACAAAAAGGTTGGGGGGGGGTGCATGGGGGGGGATTCCACAACGCAGAAAGAAAACCACAAAGTTGGAACGAATAAGTATTTAATTAAATACTTAGAAAATAACATCATGGCAACTTCATTAGATTTAGTATTCACATAAACAGTTGAATTACATTTGGAAATAACTTGAAAATTAGATTTTTTCAATCACAAAAACTCACAAGTATGCCCAATGGCTGCCAAGAAATCATAGCTAATCATAAACGGGGATCTTCCTGAAGCCAAATCACCTCAAAGGAAAAACTGTCAATATTTTTAACCACAAAACATTTTTTTAAACTTAATGTGAAATGTAGATATCCTCCCTCCACCCAAAAAAGTGCCTAGCATCATGAGGCTTTATGACTATACCACGACCACAGAGGTGGCCAGGTAAGAAATGCAAGTGGCTTGAATTGGTGCTGTTCAGGCCTACACTCTAAGACAGAACTGGGGCCAGGGGACCCTTGCAAAGGCTTCTCTGAGAAAAGCACATGTGAACAGGTAGACCTGAATGACAAGAAGGCACCAGCCATGCCAAGAGCAGGGAGAAGAGGTTCTGGTAGAGGTTCCGCACTGGAAATGCCAGGTCAGATTTGTAAGGAACCAAAAGACAGTTTTTGGCTGAACTGAAGCGGGAGGCAGGGGGAGGAGTGGGCAGTAAGAAACATACCATGTAGAGTCTGCAAGACAATACTGACAGTATTCCCATCCAAAGAATAAAAAAACACTCACATTTAAGAGTGATCCAATTTGTTTCAGTCCTACACTCTCCAGGAATACGGCAGCCACTTGCCACAGGGGCTTATGAACACCTGCACACAGATGGTGCCACTGCAGCACAGAACTTGCCCCCTCACTGAATTTTTTTTTTAAAGACTTATTTATTTGAGAGACATAGAGAGAGTAAGAGAGAGAAAGAGCGAGCGCGAATGGGATGAGGGTAGAGGGAGAAGCAGACTCCCGCTGAGCAGGGAACCTGATGCAGGACTGGATCCTGGAACTCCAGGGTCATGACCTGAGTTGAAGGCAGATGCTTAACCGACTGAGCCACCCAGGCACACACACACACCCCCCCCCCGAATTCTAACTGATTAACGTTTACACTGAAAACCCTGACATGTAGTCCAGCTCCTGGAAAACTTGTAAGCATGTTGGAAACAGACAGCGTGGGCCTGTGGATCTACATTTTCAACTGCCAATTTTATGAAAACTAAAGCCAGACTGATGATTTCAGACGAAAATGCAGCTGCACAGGGCACCTGGGTGGCTCAGTGGCTGATCATCTGCCTTTGGCTCAGGTCAGGATCCCAGGTCCAGGCATAGCATCCCCCTATTGGGCTCCCCACAGGGAGCCTGCTTCTCCCTCTGCCTGTGTCTCTATCTCTCACGAATAAATAAATACAAATCTTAAAAAAAAAAAAAAAAATTTTTTTAAACAAGAAAGAAAATGTGGCTGCAACGGAAAACCCAAGGGATTTCGAAGACTTGGTACTTAGTAAAAGAATGGAAGAAAGCTCATTTGTATTTTTTATACCTGTATGTGGACATAAGATCTTGACTACCCTGGGTTAAAGATAAAACATTAATTTCACCGTTGTGGTGGGGTTTTGTTTGTTTGTTTTTTGTTTTTACTTTTTCTTAAACGTGCTCGCTAGAAAAATGTGAAGCGAGAAGTGTGGCTCGCGTCAACTTTCCACGGGTCGCGGGTGGAGGCAGAGGCTCCGGGGTCTCCCAGGCCGGGCGCGACGGCAGTCAGACCCTGACCAGGGGTGCAGACAAGTTTCTGGTTGTATTATGCAGTCACGAGCCAAGTCAGGGAGTTTTCAACGGCCCCGTTCACCGGGCGGGGCGCCTGTGGCCCCGGGAGTTGAGTGACAGAGGCCGGACTCCAAGTCCTCCTTACTGCGCCGTCCACCTGAAACCTCCCAGAGGCCCTCGAGGAGGCGAGAGCGGGATTCGAACTGGGCCCGACTCTCGGGGCCACGCTCCCAGAATGCCGCGTGACCGCCGCTCCGTCTCCCCTCAGGGGTGCGACCAACGTTCACAACGGATTCCCCCGCCGCTGGGCCTGAGGGGCCGGGAGTCCCTCAGGGAAGGTCCCGGCAACGCTCACCTGCGAACAGACGCCAGGGCGACAAACGCTCCTCCTTCTCTCTTTCTCTCTCTCTCCCTCTCTCCACACGCGGCTCAAGCACGCCGGCAGCCAACTTCCGCTTCTGGGCGGCGAATCCCCAGCTAAGTATTCCTCTCTTCCCGCCCCACGACCAACCCAGCCAATCACGTCGCAGAGAATCTGCATCCGCCCTGCCAGACGCCGGCCTGCCAATCACCGCGAGAGCCAGCGCCGCCCTTCCCGCCCTCTTAAGCGGGCGCCGCGCGCCACCGCTAGGCGGTTGGCGGAGCTGCCCTCCGCCGGGCTGCGTCCCCCGGAAGGGCGGGGCGAAGCGCGCACCACGCGGGTGCGGGAACCTTCGGGATTGGCCAAGAGGAGACTCGCGCTCTGCCTCCGCCTACCCCCGCCCCCAGACATCCGAGTCGGAGACGCTGGGGATTGGTTCCCGCTGGACACCCAAAAAAACCAAGAAATGGTTCCTCCTCCCTCGAGCATCCCGGAGAGGGAGCCCCACGGATTGGCCCGAGGAGTCTCGGCGCGCGCCGACCCGCGCTCCACGATTGGCTGACGGTGTGCTCGCGCCGTCGGCGAGCGCTGACGGTGATTGGCCGGAGGGTGGGGCCGGCTATTTGAAGGAGGCGCGCGGACCGAATGCGCACTGCAGTCGGCGGACAGAAGAGGCGGGAGCGGTGGGGAGTAACGCTACCCCGCTGACCGCAGAGGACTCAGGCGCGGGCTCGGCCCCAGCTGTGGCCTCTGCCGCGGCCCGGCGAGGCGATGGCCAAGGTTTCTGTGCTGAACGTGGCGGTGCTGGAGAATCCGAGCCCTTTCCACAGCCCCTTCCGGTTCGAGATCAGCTTCGAGTGCAATGAGGCCCTGGCGGACGGTGAGGCTGGGCCGGTGTGGAGATACCCCTCCCCCACCCCTCCCCGCCTTCCCAGACTTTCCACGAGAAACGAGCCCCCCCCCCCGATTCCCCTTCTCCCCTCCCCTTCAGCCCCAGCCTCCTTGAGAGACTGCCCCTGACACCCCTGGCCAAGCCGCCCCCGCCCCACGGGTACTCCCATTTCTCCCGCGGAGACCTCCTCATCCCCCCCCCTTCCTGTGGAGCTTCTTTCACCTGCGGAGACCGCCAGTCACCCAGACTGACCCTCACAGTTATCCTTATGAGATCCCTTTCCCTCGTGGCAAGACCTTACTCGTCCCCATCTCCCCATTTGTCTCTCCGTACAGCCGGTCTCCCCTCCCTAAGCCGCATGATATTTAAAACAACCCCACCCGCACCCATTTCGGATTGTTTTCTACCCCCAAAGCACATACCCTGGACCCTGGCTTCCCACCTCCTTATCCTGGCCCCAGTTTTACCAGCTTGCGTGCGCTCCACGGGGGGGAAGCACGGCAGGTTTCCAGCTCCAGTCTTTCAGGATAACTTGGTCTCCCCAGCTCCCGTGCCTCCCTCCTGTCTGTGTGCTTCGATAAACACGCTCATATCTGAAGGGTGGCAACACCAGGCAAGCATCAGCCGGTTCCCACTGTTTGCCCACTCGGTTCCAGCAGATCTATTGCAGCAGTTCTTCCCACACTTTTGATGGGCTGACCCAGTCTGGGAGTTGGGGCCAGGCTGAGCCATGACGGTATCTGGCTTCAAACAATCGGCTGGGAGGTCAGAACTTTTTGTGAATCTTTTTCAAGGTGCTTTCACAGATGGACTTCTTCATCTGTGTGTAATAAAGGTGGACATGGTTCTCATCTCACAGAAGAGAAGACAGGAACCACAAAGAATGAAAGACCTTTCAAGTAAAGGTCTATAAAAATCGAAAATCTAAGGTTGCCCAGGGACTCTTGGCACCACTTTCAGGAGGAAGTACTCCATTAGACAGATTCTCCACTTGGTGGTTAAAGAAGAGGCAGCAGGCAGCTGGGGAGATGGGGATCTATGAGGCCATGGTGTGCTAACTAGCGCCCCTCAGTGGTAGGTGGGTGGTTTGTGGGAAAAGCCAGCCATTTGTATTAGTTTGGGGTTGATAAAATTTGAGATGTGTGTGCTTTTGGCCTGGGCCAATAGATCAGTCTCTCAGCTTCTCTCCTTTTTAAATTAAGGAATCTACTTGTGACTAACTATAGAATAAGCCCAGTTAAATCCTTTCTGGAACAAGCCAGGGTGTAAATAAATAATTAAAGTGTAGAATGACACTGTGGAATAAGAATTTAATTTTAAAGATAGGAGGAGATGTAAGGAGCTAATAGGTTAAGGGATTCACAGTTCCCAGAAGGCAGGAGATCAGGTTTCAAACAGCCTGTTTGTGCTCCTTGCATTTAAAAAGGGTTGCATAGTCATTATCTAGTACTTCTATTCCTAGGAAAACCCCTGCCCTATTACTTTACTAATCTGTTTATAGACTCAGAGCAGAAAAGTCAAGAGTCAACCTGCTGGTCATTATTTTTTAATAGAGAGAAATGGGCTGACTTCTCTGAGGTCACACAGCCGATCTGTAGAAGTAATGACACTAGAGTTGACACTCAACTCTCTGAGTTGAGTCCAGAATTCTCTACCTTTGCTATTATAACCTGGGGAAAAAAGAATTCATCCCTTATTTTATTTTACTTTAAGATTTTTTGTTTATTCATTCGTGAGAGACACAGAGGCAGAGGGAGAAGCAGGCTTCCTGTGGGGAGCCCGATGCGGAACTTGATCCCAGGACCCCAGGATCACAACCTGAGCCAAAGGCAGATGCTCAACCACTGAGCCATTCAGGTGTCCCTTCATCCCTTATTTTAGAAGTGGAGCATAAATAAGACTGACCATAGAATTGATTTCCACGTTGGGACGCTCTCAAAAGAAAATGAAGGGAGTGCTACTATTAATTACACCCAGACAATAAAGCTTTTGCTCAGAGAAATGGAAGTTGGAAAGCAAACTCTGGCCTGAAAATCCAGACTCTGGTTCTACCCCTAGGGCTGTCCATGACTTTGACCTGCCAACTTGCTTTCTGCCTATTCCTGGCCTTCTTCCCATGGAACAGAGAGAATCCGTTTCCTGCCTCCCAAAGAGATGGAGGGGGCCTGGCTTTAGAAGTCTCTCAGATTCTGGAGAAATCTCAGTCTTGTTACCTTGACGCTAGCAACTGAAGATCTGACAAAAGACCCAACCCCCAATCAGTGTCTGATTCTATTTCCCAAGGGCTCCAAGCCCCTTTGGTTCTTTTTTTCTCCTCAGCATCTAGAAATAGATGCTTCCTAGGCATGGGTCCACATTTAATACATTAGATGTGTTTTTCCTCTATTCCATTGAGAAATTCAACAGCCACTGTTTGAATAAGTCATGAAACCAGATGTTCTGACCCACAGCTAACACCGTGGGCAGGCCAAGATTCATCTATATGATCTGAACACTGGCAAAGTGATAAATAAAAAAAAGCCTACTAGATAGTTTTTGTGTTGGTTTGTTTGTTTTAAGGCAGGAAACATTCTCCAGCTAGTTAAATGAAAATGAACTTTTACATGCCTTCGATCAGGTTGTTAGTTTTGGTTTTGTTTTCGTACATAGTGGAAGAACATGTTGTTGACTGTTCCATTGCAAAGTTAGGGCCTAAAGACAAAATTGAATATTGTCAAGTTACCCTTGAAATTGCCTAAAAAATTAGGCACACCGTGTTATGCATGTACAATCGCGTCCTGTATTCAGAAGGAATGAGTCTGTGCTGTACTCGTGATGGACATCCATGGTTATATTTTAAAAATGGAGCCACTTAAGTATGCTTCTACTGAAAACGCTTCAGCAAGTTTAAGGCAATCCAGTTTGTAGGTCCTTATTTTCAAGCATCTGCTGTTTTCCATAGATGACTGTATCAGCTCCCCTATCCATTGAGTCAATATTTCTCTGTGGCCCTCAGTCAATTCTCTGGTTTCTTTTCGGCCTCTCTTGAGGGAGCCATTGCAGACCATTTGGCCGCTGGCGCAGTGCGCTTTCTCCTCCGGGCGGCACCCACACCACACCAGTCTTTGCCAGTGGTATCGAACATCCAGTGCCCGTGGCCAACGCAGGGCCTGCTCTACTTTGGTGCCCTTTTTATCTACCTCCCCCCCTTGCTGCCCCAGCACATTAGCTAAATGCACACATATAGGACTCCACTGGTGGCAGAGGGAAGGCCAGGAGGAAAGCTACCAAAATAGAGAACTGTGTTAGAAAGGCAAGGACAGAGCCAGCTTTATTTTTGTTCGCCCGGAAACATGTTTTATCTAGTCATGTCACTCCTTGTAACAAAGATAAATCAGTAAACTTAACTGGTTCCTGCAAATAATGAGACTAGAATTGAACCCCGGTGAGCCCACGGGTCATTGTATGCCCCAGACCTGCTAACTAGGGTCCCTGCATAGAAGACCTGGGTGACACTGCAAAGGAACAGGAAATCAGTGTATCGAGGAAGAGCTTGGGGCTCGGGTGACAAACCTCCGGAGCTGTAGCCCAGCATAGCGGTGTTTACCAAGTTGGATGCTCTTTTGGGACACCAGACCAGGGCAACTTCAACAACACTTTGCTTCCTGTGAAACTCATAGCTTGTGAAATTTCCTCCAGCCGCTGGAGCCACAGGTTGTGTAATTTCAAAGAACCTAAAATAAGTTTCAGGTCTTCTGCCAAGCTTCCCTGTACTAGCGTGACCTTGCCCCTGATACACTTGGACCTCCTGCAAGAGGCAGCGGTCACCGGGAATTTCCTGTACTTGATGGGCAGGGTCTCCTTCAGCACTGTTCCTCTCACCTTGCTGGAACATACTCAGGGATGAGATTCCCCACTACCACCACTTTGTTGGGATGCAAGAGAGGCGGGGTTCGGAGGATCACCCTAGGATGCCACATTTGTTGACTGAGTCTCTGTCACCCAAATGTCTGAAAGTAGGCATGAGTTGATGCTGGAACTGGAAGACCTGGACACTGGCTGGCTCCCCCTGTGGCCTCTTCTTCCCCCTCCTGCCGGCTGGCTCTCCTGCTAGATTGGAATCTGCTGCCCTGCCCCAGTTGTCGAGGGATCTATTCAGTTTGGTGGCACCGGTCCCTGTGTGTGAAAGAGGATGCTGCTTCCTATCCCAGCACCCAGTGGGCAGGGCCCTGAAATGGCCCAATTCCCTGCTGTCCCTCCTCTGCACGCCTCTGTCACGTGGCTCCTAATTCAACCTCTGCCATACGGTTCACCCTCAGTCTCTGAGATCCCCGAGTTATCCCAAAGATGCAGGGTCAGGGTCACCCAGCAAAGCCAGGCTCACGAGAGAAATTTCCCCACTAGAAGTAGAGTTTCATGCCCCCTTCAGTGTTTAGGATGGTGGTACCTGGCGCTTATTCCCCAGCAGATGTCAGGCATTCTTGAGAATAAAAATCTTTCAATATATTAAGGATCTGTCCAAAACTCAACACAAGACCTTCCCCTGCCTTCATGCTGCCCAGCTATTTCAAGTCCTTAATACCCCATATCCTTACAGATCTAGAATGGAAGATCATTTATGTTGGCTCAGCTGAGAGTGAGGAGTTTGACCAAATCCTGGACTCTGTGCTAGTTGGCCCTGTCCCAGCAGGGAGGCACATGTTCATCTTTCAGGTAAGAAAGACAGGGCCTGAGGCCTTGGCACTTCTTCTACCTGAAAGCACACAGTGTGGTTCAGTGGTTAAAAGCTCAGGTTAAAATTCTGGCTCTGTGTTCAGGAACTGTCTGACCTCTTAGAAGTACTTCATACATTTCCGTTTCCTCCACTTCTGTTGTCATAGCTGTCACCATGAGTCACTGATTCATATAGTTGATTCTTATTATTCACCAGAGTTATGTTCTATAAGGTGGCTGCAAATGCTGCATTAGCAAATTAATGAATACAGAACCAGTGCCCCTGGAAGAATGCAGGGTTGGGTTCCTACAAGTTCTATTGTCAACCAGTCAATACATAATCTTGTTTCATGTGTGTTTCTGTTGAAAGACACCTTATTTAGTATTTATTATTGTTGATCATTCACATGAACTCCCTGCCAACAGCACTATAACTCATGCCTGAACAAAGCTTCTCTAACACACGTATTTTCTCCATAAGGTGCATCATCACCTTGCACTAAGCACTGTACTTGGTAGCCATCCTGAACAACAAAATCACCAGGGCGCCTGGGTGGCGCAGTCCGTTGAGCATCTGAGTCTTGGTTTTGGCTCAGGCCGTGGTCTTGAGGTCATGGGATCGAGCCCTGCATCCAGCTCCGTTGCGAGTCTGTTTGGGATCCTCTTCTCCCTCTGTCCCCCACCTTCCCCACCCCACCAATTCTTAGTCGCTCTTGCATATGCTCTCTCTCGCTCTCTCTCAAGTAAATAAAATTTAAGAATAAATAAATATTTATTTATTTTTAAATATATAAAAATCAAAGGTTCTGCTCAAATCCTTGCCTACCTCCCAGGCTACTGCTCCCACCCCAGTCCAGGCAACCTCATCCTATCCCCTAATGCCTCACCCACCTGTAGCCAGGCCACCAGCAAGCCCACCTGCTCCACTCCACGAGCAAGGCTGGCTTCCTGAGCATTCAGCTCATGCAGCCACACAGGGCCCGGCACCTGGTATAACGTTCTGTTGTCGCTGGCTAAAACTTGCTAATTTGTGAATAAGGGACCCCATGTCTTGTTTTGGTTTTATTTTGTACCAGTTATATAGCGGGTCTTATCCATAACAACACACCCCAAATGTGTCTGCCTCTGTCCTCTCCTTCCTGGTATAAATCACTGTCTGCACTCTGGGTTGACTGTAACCTGCCCAGTCTCTCTGCTCCCACAACTGCCCTCCTCCCATCACAGGAGTGATGCAGCACTTACCTCCTGTTAGACATTCTTGCTCCTTCCCAAGCCCTTAACTGGCCCAAAAGACCCTGGGCGCCCTGGTCCCTACCTGCCCACTTGTACAGCCTTATCTTATGCCACCCCTCCACCCCCCTCACCACACTTCTCAGCACTACATTTACTTCTTTGTGGCACTTGTCACACTGAGCATTTTACAGGCATTTGCGGGATTGATTGTGTCTTCCCCACTCGATTAGAAACTCCTGTTGGCAGAGATCATACCTTTTGGCTCAGTAAATATGTGTTGCTTGAAAATCATTGTGTTAAGTGGTAGAGGTGTGGCTGTACGATCAATGCTAAGGCACAGGGTGTGTTTCCTCTAGGCTGATGCCCCCAACCCATCCCTCATCCCAGAGACTGATGCTGTGGGTGTGACCGTGGTCCTCATCACCTGCACCTACCATGGACAGGAGTTCATCCGTGTGGGCTACTACGTCAACAATGAATACCCCAATCCCGAGCTGCGGGAGAACCCACCCCTGAAGCCAGACTTCTCTCAGGTGGGACCTGTCTCTGCACTTCCTGCCTCGGACAGGCTGGCTCTTTGGCACCTGGGGGAGTTGAGTCATTGGAATTGGGAGCCAAGGTCACTTCTTAAGGTTTTCAAGCCCTGCTCAGATCTTGGAGCTCCAGACCAGAACCAGAGAGAGAAAGGTCTTTGTTTCTCAGAAGCACGCCTGGCAGAATCGAGATTAGATAGGTCTCAGCCCTAAATCACAGTACATAGGCACTCCCGGGAGTTCTACACATAGTTGTTGATGGTGATGGAATAAGTAAGCTCTGTTTTTCCTGGCCTTGGGGCAGGGTCTTGGGGTGCCCTGGCTCTGTGGGAGTAATGACGGGGCATGCTGACAAGGGTTGACATTTCCTCTTTCTGCCCCAGCTCCAGAGGAACATCTTGGCCTCAAACCCCCGAGTGACCCGCTTCCACATCAACTGGGACAACATGGACAGACTAGAGGCCATAGAGAACCAGGACCCCACCCTGGGCTGTGGCCTCCCCTTCAGCTGTGCTCCCATCAAAGGCTTGGGTCTCCCAGGTTACATTCCTGGGCTCCTTCCCGAGAATTCCATGGACTGCATCTAACTCGAGGAATCCAGGCCCTACCTGGGCCCAGCCGGGACTGTGGCCAGTCTCCTAGCACATCTGGAGAGGGCAGCTGGGCCTCCTGGACAATCCCATGGAGGCCATCTAGAGGACTTTGGGGCCATCAGCTATACCCAAGCCAGATGTGGTTCTGAGGAAGGAGCAGGCCTCAGGTCTCTCCCAACCCTGACCCAGAAGGACCAGCTTTTATACCTCTACTGCCCAGGCCTGTAAGAAGCAGGTACTTCACTTTTTAATTCTTTGTGACATGTGTCTTTTCTGTCTTACACACACACTATAAATTCCACCTGCAGGCCTTTCTGCCACCATGCTCCTGTGAGTACCATTGACCAGAGCTCTTCCCACCTCCCTGGCTTGCCTTGAGGCTTTCTTGGTCAACGCCTGGCAAGGCTCCAGGCCTGTTGAGCCGAAGGCTCTGTCATTCCTGTCCCTCCCCAAACATCTGAGCAAATCCACCCAGCTTTTTGGAGTCACAGGCAAGGAACCAAACTTGGTTAGAAGGTGGACTTGGACACAATTTCTGTCCTCCTAGGATAGTTTTTAGGTCTTTTAATCCAACAGCCTCTGGAAAAGTCTGTTCCCAAAGGTATGCTCAGCAGGATGCTAAGGAATGATGGTTGACTCCTCTCTGTACAACCACCTTCCTGTCCTCTCTTAATTGGATCTGGCTTTCCCCGGAGGCTGCCATGGTGGGAAGGTGGCAGGTTGGTGGAGTCTGTCTCAATGCTGGCATCAGGGCCCCTCTGCCTGCCTTAATCTGCCCTCTGCGAAGACCTCATGCTCTTGCAGGCACAGGAAACCATAGGGACCCTGAAAACCTCTCCCCCTGCCATGCTCCCTGCAACACCCCATTCCCTCGCTGCTACGTGGATGCGATTGTGATTACAGTTTGTATATTAAAAGGTTTTTATATTAAATATGTTTGGTTGATCTAAAAATAAAAAGCACTTCCTCTAGACTGATTCTGCTTTTGTCTTAGGTGGGCTGAAGCAGATTTGTCCATCTCTCTTCATGATGTGGTGAAGGGGCTCTGGCCCCAGCCAGTGGGCTGACCGTCCTTTGTCCCCTTGCTCAGCTTCTTACCCTAGTCTTAATTGGTTACATAATTGTACTCCAGGCTGAGGTTCAGGGAGGGGTTTTTCTTTGTCAAAAGTTAAGCAACCCAGCTGTTCTGGATTGAGCATAACCAGTGATTTTTTAGACTTTGACCTTGACCCACAGGAAAAAATTAACATCATGCTCCAAGGACACAGGCAGCAACACTTTTATTAAATTTTACTTAACCTTACTTTGTAACCATACAGCCCAGTAGACTGGTTTTGCTGGTGAGCCATTTCCCTGTAATTCACAGAAGTGCCCTGACTCTTCCTTCCTGGAAACTGGAGGACCTAGGAACATGGGTGCAGATAGCTGCCTGATAGGGTACACATTGTGTAAGTTTAGGCAGAGCAGCAAACTGGCTTATAGACCTGAGACCAGCTAGCCCCCTCTAAGTCAAGACAGCTGGCCCAGCTGGCCCCCTGCCCCTCTTTGGCATCTTGTTTGGGTCTTCTACTAAAGTGGTTCTTAACTAGGGGCAATTTGCCCTCTGGGGCACATTTAACAATGCCTGAGATACTTTGGGTGGAGGAGAGGAAGGTCCTACTGGCATCCAGTGGGTAGGAATGGGATGCTGCTAAAGCTAGTGTGTGCACAAGACTGTCGTTCCCCCACCACCACCACCACCAAAGAATGACCCTGCACCAAATGTCAGTAGTGTGGCAGTGAGAAACTGACCTCAGGCTGTGTTTAAAAAGGGCACCCCGGGGCGTCTGGCTGGCTCAGTGGGTGGAGCATGCAATTCTTGATCTCGGGATTGTAAATTGGAGCGGCACATTGGATGTAGAGATTACTTTAAAATCTTTAAAAATAAAAATAAAAGGGCACCTAGAAAAAAGGGTCATCTTATTGCTCTGGGGGGAGCGGGCAGCTTCCCATTGTGTTGCCCAAAGGGGATCCCCAGCCTGGCTGTGCCCCAGATTCCTCATCTGTAAAATGGGAGTGACAGTAATAGTACCTCCGTGATAGAAGCATGCTGGTGCAAAGAAGCTCTTACTACTGACGCGCGCAAGCCCAGGGTAGACGCCCAGCAATGGGATGGACACAGAGCCCCCTCCCAGCCACCCCGCGCTTCCCGGGCCCAGCATCCTCCTGAAGCCCTGTCTGTGGCTGGAGGAGACCTAGAAGGCTCCTCGGCCTGGACCCCGACATCCTGCGCCAGGCCTTATGAATGACGACTGCCGGAGGCCCGGCGACCTCTGACCCGAGGCGCCCGCCGCGCCCCTCCCCCGCTGGCAGGTGGACGGCGGCTGCGCCGGGAGGCTGGGGGGAGGCCCTGGCGCCAACCGTGGCTGGCCGGCGGCCGCTGCCGCACTGAGCGGAGGCGGGGGACTGCGGCGCGGACGGGGCCGGGCGGGCGCCCGCCTGGACCGCCTCCTGGGCCTCGGAGCGCGGCGCGGCCCCCCGCCAGGCTCCGCCGCCCCGCCCGGCCGGCCCGGGCCGTAGGCTGCATCTGCGCCCCGCCCTCTCACCCCGGGATTGACACTGAAGGTTCTGCGGGGGGCTGGCCGGGCGGCGCGCCTCCGCCAATTGGCGGCCTCGCTGGGCGGGCCCCGGGCCCTGTCGGGAGCCGTGGCCAATCAGGAGCGCCGGCCCGCCCCGCTGAGGCCTCGCGAGCTCGCGAGTGGCCGGGCGTCCGCGGCGCGCGTCACGGAGCCGAGGGCCTATGGCGGCTCGGGGGGGCCGCGGAGGACCAATGGGCGGCGGCGCGGCGCCGTCACTCAGGGCGGCCTCGGCCAATGAGCGGCGGGCTGCGGGGGCGTCACGGACAGCAGCAGCGGACTTGGGCTGAGGTTCCCGGGCGGGCGGGCGCGGAGAGACGCGGGAAGCAGGGGCTGGGCGGGGGTCGCGGCGCCGCAGCCAGCGCAGCCAACCCGAGGGGCCGCCGCCGCCGCCCAGCGCGCTCCGGGGCCGCCGGCCGCCGCCAGCACCCGCCGCGCCGCAGCTCCGGGACCGGCCCCGGCCGCCGTCGCCGCGATGGGCAACGCCGCAGCCGCCAAGAAGGGCAGCGAACAGGAGAGCGGTGAGTGCCCGGGCCGTGACCCTGATCCCGGCCCCTCGCTGCCGGCCCCCGCCCTGTCCATCACCGCCTGGCCCCTCCCCCTTTGCGCCCCCCCCCCCATTTCTTGCTCATCCCCCTCCCGGCGCCCCTTCCCCCTGCCTGTCCAAGGTTGGCGCCCAGGGTCCGCAAAAGACCCTCGTAGGGCCCCCCTTGCCAAAGGCCACCCCCCACTGCAAAGACTGTGCCCCCCCCACCCAGCTGTCACTGCCAACCAAGGCACGTATGACCGCTGGGGCCCCACATGGGGCCTTGTCCCACCCCAACCCCTCCTTTCCTGGTCCCTCTCCCCCCACTTCCTTCCTCACCTCTGCCTCTAATGGGACCCACTGCCAGACCCCGACCCAGGCTTCTGCCGTAGTGGGAGCGCTGTGGGGTCTGCCTCCACCCCGCAGGGACCTTGGCCACTTGGTGACCACACCCCTCCCCCCTCCAGCCCCCGCCATCTTTCTCCTGCCCTTCCCCCTTTCACCTTATCACACCCCCCTCCAAACCCATGGCTGCCCCCCTTAAGCATTTCCCAGAGCCACCTCCAGCGTTGTTTTTCCCTTCTGTGTCACTTGGCATGGGGGACAGGATCTTTCTGGGTCCCTCTGCCCCTCTCCCATCCTGTCACTCTGTCACTCTGTCTCTCTGCCTGTGTACCCTCCTCCAAGCAAACGTCTGTCCCTAGCCGAGGTAGCAGACTGTTTATGAACCTAAAGAAGTGCCTCAGTGCTTCCGAAGCCAAGTTTGAGCCTGTCTTGCTGGGATTCATTGCATCTTCTTTCCTGGGTTCGGGGCAAGAAGGGGGGGGGTGGCAGCAGCAGTGCTCCTTCTCATCTCCCGCTATGCAGTGAGCTCTAGGCATCTTGGAGTGCCCCTCAATAAATGGTTGTTTCACAACTGAGGCTCCGTCACTCGCCCAGTGCCCAGGGCTTCTTCACCCGCTCCTGGCCCAGGATGAAAAGTGGGGTATGAAGTGTCTGGGTTTAGCAGGGCTCATTCAGCTTGAGCTGGGATGGTAAGAAAGGGGACTTGAGGCATGACAGTTGGGGAGAGTAGTGAGTGACATCTAAGGACTTGCTTTGCCAAGAGACAAATAGATTCTGATCATTCCCAGGGCTCAGCCAGAGAGAGGCCTGTTTTCCTCGCTCAGTCCCCAAATTATGTTGGACTTTTCCGGCCAGGGAGATTCTGTGTCTGGAAATGCCTTCAGAAATGGCCTCAAGCCCCTTACTCAGTTCCCCTAGATCTTAATTTGTCATCACTCCAGACCTGTAGCTGGACCTTAGCTAGGATCCCCTTCCAGTTACCCAGAAATAGTCAGAACTGAGGGAGGCCGTGTCCAAATACGCCCTTCCCAATTTCCGGTCTCAGACCCCAACGTCTGAGTTCTTTGAATACACCTCTCCCCTTCCCCCAGAAAGACCCAGGCATGAAACCCAAGGAACTTTATTCCCACACGGATTCAAGTGGCAGAACTCAGAATCACCAAGCAGCCATGGGAAGGCGTGACATGTCACCGATGGGCGGGGGACAGGGAGGCAAGTGCCTGTAGCTGAGCACTTGATGACAGAGGAGCAGGTGGGTAGTGACCAAAAAAGGTTTAGGCATGAGCTTGGAGGGGACTGGGCAGAGGGGGAGGGGCTGGGCCCCCAGCAGGTGAGGCTATCTGGGAGGTAGAAGGTGGAAGCAAGTGGCTATATATTGCAGTAGCTCAGTTGAAAGTTGGGGAAATGACATCGTCCTGGAAAACTTTCAAGGCGTATCAAACACATGCAGTGTGGGGCAAAAAGCTGCACAGGGAAAAGGATCCCCGAGAAAAAGATCAAAGAGGCTCTGGAAGGAAACACTAATTCTCTCAGAGCACAGGCCAGACACCCAGAAGTAGACTATCACGATGAAACAGAGCTCCTGTTTATTGGGCATCTAGGATGTGCCAGGCTAAATGGTCTCCATAGATCTCTCTGCTTGAGTGATTTTTAAAAGTTTTCTCCGAATTTTCCAAACATGCCACCTGAGTTTGACACAGACGATGTCAAAGAGGCAGGATTCACATCCAGATCTGCTTACAGCCGACTTCCTAGACGCCAGAATTTCCCAGCCCAGATACGCTCAAGCTGCCTCCCTAATTTTTACTCTATTTGCTTACATTTTCTTAATTTAAAATAAAGTTTTGACCCACCTTTGTTCAGATGCAAAGTTTGATCTTTCCTAAGCAGTAATATAAATGAAATTGTGAGATTGCTGTGCCAGTCATATTCTCTCTGATACACATTAAAATACAATGTAACTGGACAAGTGAAACATCCCTAAAATCATTTTATGCCCCACCAGTGGGACCCATGTCAAACTTCGGGAAATGTCCCAAGCTTTACTTCCTTCCAGAGGCTTGCAGGGGCCCTCAGAGAAGGATATAGGATGGGAGAGGAAGCCCCTTTTTGCTTCCAAGCTCAGATTCCAAAAGGATGGAATTAGACAAACTTTGCCCTCCTGTAACTAGGGTGGGATGTGGGTAGGGGTGGGGGCAGTAGCCAGGCCAGCCTGCAGGGGGCACCTGAATTTCATCTGCCAGCTGCCAGCCTGACCTGGGTAAGGAACATGCCCAAGCCATAGTAGGCAACAGTGAGGCATCCTGCAGCCCCCATGCTACTGTCTCCATGGCAGGAGAAAGTGTCAGCTTCCTCCCAGGAGGACAGGGATCTAGAACAAGCTCAGGGGTGAGGCGGTGCGAGGGGTGGGGGTGCTGGCGAGGAGGGATCTGTACCCAAAGATGCCAAAGCCATTGGCAGAGGCCAGAGTAAGATGCTAAGAGGACATATAAAAAGACCAAGCTCTGGGCTCTGAGGAAGCTGGAGAACTGAGAGAAGCAGTGGCCCCAAGAGGCCCGGGGACAAGCGGCCAAGTGGAGCTCAGGCCTTGGCTGGCACTGGCCAAAGGCACCCCTGGGAGCTGGCCCACAGACGAAGTGGGGCTGGTGAGAGGGAGCCCCCAGAGACCCCTCCAGGTCCAGAGACAAGCAGATCCAGGCTGTGCGAGATGTGCCCCCCAGAGACCCTGGATAGAAAGAATAGTGGCCCTCTACCATCCTCCAGAAGCCTGAGAGTAGCAAACACCCTGTGCGCATTGGCAGTTGTATGGGTGCCCAAGAGGGTCCTGCCAAGGCAGCTTTTCCTTCAGCCCAGTCAGGCCTACATAAGCTTGAGGGTCTTGTCTGTCCCTCCCCTGCACACCCGTTGGTCCCTAAATTAGGTTTCTCTTCCTGCCACCACCCCACAGTTCCCTGCCTCCCCCTACAGATAGAGCACTGGGCATGGGCAGCCCAGCTGGTGCAGCAGGTCTCATGAGCCTTCCCAGCCACCGTAGTCTTGGTGCCCTGAGAGGAAGACTGAGTGATGGCTTCCAACACCAACGATGGTGAGGATGAGCCCTGTTGCTATAGCAACTTCCCAGGCACTCTGCCCCTCAAGCCAGGGAAGGGCTGCAGTGGGGTCTAGAGAACAGGTGGAGAGGAAGAGTCTGTGGACCCCTGGCTGGCCCTGCAAACCCTCCCTTACTAACAACCCCGAGCTTGCGGGCCTGGGGAAAAGCGGAGGTATGGGTGGCCCCATCCAGAGACAAGGTCCACCCAGAGTGGGGGTCCAGCTTGGACCACGGTGGTGGGATGGTCCAGACCAGGGTTGGGCTGAGCTCAGAATGGGACTTGGTTCAACTCATGGTGGAGTCCAGGACATAGTGGATGGTTCAGTACAGGATGGAGGCTCATCCGACTGGGGAGTGATCCCCCCCGGTCCAGAATAGGGGTCTAGTTCAGAATAGCAATTGGTCCAGTCCAGTGTTGGGGTCCAAGCTGGATTGGAGAAATCAGCCAGCCCAAAGAAGGGGTCCCAACCCAGGCAGGGCATCCATCCCTGCCCCAGAATTCCCAGGACAAACAGGTTTGGGAGGGCAGAGTGTGCTGTGATGGTTGTCTGGGGAGTCTGAGGCTGGGCTCCTGCCTCCTGCTGTGGCCTTGGCTTGTTGAGGGGTGTCTGGGGTGAGGGGCGTCTGGGGTTCTGTTAGCCCAAATCAAACCCAGCCCACAGTGGAGGCTGGCAGCCACCCCCCTCAATTCCCCATAGGAGACATGGCAGGGGGGCAGGTTTCATAAGCCAGCAGCTGGCTGGATTTCCCTTCTCTGCCACTTCCTGTTGTTAGCAGGGGCCACTGGTGCTGGGCACTTTCGGAGAAGCTACCATTGACCCTCCACTTTATTTGGGATGTGGAAAGAAGGAGGAAGATGGTCAAGGCTGCCTCCCCCTCCCCCACCCCTAGGTTTAGCCTTTCGTTTCCGGTTGGACTTTCATGGCTGAAAGCAGAGCCAAGCACAGGGCAACGTTTGGCAGAGGCCAAGGACATCCTGCGCTTGTCGGTCCCTTTTTTGCCTCTACACAGGAACAAGACAAATCCAGACGCACCCACTTTTCTCTCAGGGTAGCGGGATTTGGGGGCTCCAAGTTCAAAGAGGACTTTGGGGAACGGATAGGGTGGCTCTTGCATCTGCCACTCCCCCCAACCACCACGCCTTTCTCTCCATCCGCTCTTTCAGCTAATTAACGGGGCTCTGGGGCCTCTTTGGCCCCCAGGGAGCCCCTTGCTGCTGCCTGGGCCTGAACCTTAACTCCTTCTCCTCTGCCCAGCGGGCACTGCCCTGGGCACATCCAGTGCCATCCTCTGGGTAGTTCACCCACTGAGCAAGGCAGGACCTGGCATCTTGGGAGCAGTGAAGTCCCTGGAACAGGAAGTTAGCTTTAGCACTCCACCCCTGGGGCAGCCAGGCCAGCCAGAAGGGACACCCTCAAGAGAATCTTCCCACTGCCTTCTGCCAAGGAGGGCCTTTGCAAACCTTGGCCAGCTGGGAGCAGGTACCTTTAAATGCTTCCCTGGCAACCAGCTCCTCCTCCCTGGTCCCCTGAGGCCCTCAGGAGGAAGCCAGCTCAGAGGCTTTGCGTATTCCTGGTTTCCCTGCAAAGGGAAGATTGCAGGGAGAGTCCAGGGCTGCCTGGAATGGATGTGGGGTCAGGCAGCAGCCGGGGCAGTGACTCAGAGACCACCTTCCAGCTGTGGCTGCAGCTGCTCCTTTGGGCCCACCTGACTATCCGCTTCCTGGCCTACCTGCACCACGCTTTCTGGGCCCCTAAGCCACAGCCAGCACCCTGAGCCTCCCTGGCCAGGGGCAGATGGGCCCCAGATCACCCTATCCTTCTCCACCCCCCCCCATTGCATTGCACCCTCTGCTGGAAGAGGTAGGAAGCAGAGGTGAGTATGGGGGCTCCTGGCTGGGGTTCCCCCCATCATTATCCCCCTTTATCTGCCCACTTCTTCTGGCACTGTCTCCCCTCCCAACTGTCCAGATTTGGGCAAGCCAACGGCACCAAAGGGGACACAGTCTGGCCTTTAGTACTTTGAGAGTCCAGACAAGGGCTGTATTAGGACTGGAGCCTCTCAGTGGGGTACTAGCAGACAGCCAAAGGCACAGGCCCACTGAGTCAAGAAAAAGAGTATGGCAGTTCTCAGGGGAACAGGACCAGGCATTCTGGTTTCTTACCACACCCCTTCCATTGCCTTCTTGGGTGGGCAAAGATGAAGCCCCAAGAGGGTACCCTCTCCATGGCCACCTTCATCCGGAATCCAGTGTGTATGTTTGGAGGTTTCCAAGGAAGGTGTTATATGTCTAAAAAGATTCTGCTAGCCAAAGCCTTGGATTTGGTGCAGCCCTCAGGCTCAGAGAGGTCTCAAGCAGTAGATGGCCCAGCCAGGTACCAGCCTAGGACTCCTGACCATTTCTTGACTGCCCCCTGTCTGCTCCGTCACTCATTTTAGGGCTTTCCTGGCCAACAGTGTCTTCATCTGCCACACTTGTAGCCCCATGGAAGGCTCTTCTCCCCAGACGCTTAGGGGAGTCTTGGGGCCCATGGGAGTGGTGGCTACCCATGAGGCTGTGTGGGATTCCTAGCACTGTGTATGGGTAGTCCAGGCAGATGACAGACAAAAGCCAAAGTGCAAGTGTGCAGAACCCCTGAGGGTGGCAGATGTTGCAGGAACATCAAGGAATAGAAGACAGCTCTGTCTGTGGGCCATTCCAGTGCACTGCCTCCAGCCAAGGGTGAAGCAGTTAATCTTGTGGGCAATGAGGTCCGGCCGGCAACCTCAGGCCTGGTCAGTCTTCCCATCTGTACAATGAGAGTAATAGCAGTTCTGACCCATCAGGATAGGAATTAAGCATAGAAAGCATTCAGCACAGGACTGACACATGAGAAGGGTCCCTGAACAACAATGTGCCTGGCCCCGCATGGTGGTTACAAGGACAGGTCAGTAGCGCAAGAATCCACCAGGCTGTACATTTAAAGTTTGAAAGGTCAATGCACACACCCCTCCCTCAGCCCCCATATTTTGTATCACAGTTTTTAGAAATACTTAAAAACAGAATCCGTAGTTGCCATTTATAATGCACTAACCCATGAGGTGCCTAGGTGGCTCAGTTGGTTAAGTGTCTGCCTTCAGCTCGGGTCATGATCCCCGGGATCAAGCCCCACATTAGGCTCCCTGCTCACTGGGGAGCCTGCTTCTGCCTGCGGCTCCCCACTGTTTGTGTTCTCTTTCTCTGTGTCAGATAAATAAAATCTTTAAAAATGTGTATATAATGCACCAACCCTGTACCAGCCACTGTCCAACCGCCTTTGCCAAGATTAACTTGTTCAGTCCTCACAACCACCCTACCAGGTCATTACTAGTGTTAATCCCATTTTACAGATGAGGAAAACTGAGATCAGGTCAGTTGCGCAGCTCATCAGAGACCAGGCTAAGATTTGAACTTGATCTTGTCCCAGAGTCCTGGCCCCTTACTGCTTTGCTGGGCTTCTTCTCAGCCTTGGTGAGAATGCCTGTTTTCAAGCCTCAGCTTCTAGGATAGTAAATGGGAAGAATGGGTCAAAGGAAAGTTGGTAGGCCCAGGGTCCACCAGGAGGTCTTCACCATTAGCCAGATGGTGATGTTGCCTTGGGGTGCTGAAGGGCCCATAGAGCATGGGCATTGGGTAAGGTCCCCCCTTGAACCAGCTCCGGAAGAAGGACCCCAGGACTGGCAAAGGCAGGAGTGGGGCCAGCTGGGGGCCAAGGCAACAGCTGAGCCCCCCCAAGGGCGCCTGCTACCCGAGCCCCAGAGGCCTCCACCCAGGGCCTGGCCTCCCCAGAGAAGGGGCTGGAGGAGCAGCCAAATCCCCAGGCTATAAATATCTTGGCTGGCGTCGGCCCTGGCCATGGAATGTCGGTCAGAACTGGGGCGAGTGGGGGTGGGCTGGCCTGAGCACCACTCTCTGTACCCCTAAGAGTAACCCCCCGAGTCAACTTGCACCCCGTTTGGTTTAGAGTTGAGGCTGTATCCCACTTCTCTGAGTAAAGGGGGCCTAGGCCCCAGCCCAGATTGGGACCCCCCAAAGCTGCCCTCCAGCTCAGCCAGGGTACCTGAAGTTACCAAAGGTCAGTCTCTGGGCTGAGACAGCTATGTCCCACTTTACACAAATGAGCATCTCCCCAGGAATAGCCTAGGCCCACCCTGATAAGATGGGGTCTCTACCTAACACACTCTCTTTTCTTTTCAGTGAAAGAGTTCTTAGCCAAAGCCAAAGAAGATTTTCTTAAAAAATGGGAAAATCCTGCTCAGGTAAGCCCCCCTTGGAGGAATAGCCGTGGAGGGGTGAGCACACGGCCCCCCATCCTACAGCTGTGTCCCTGTAACGTGACAAGGACTATTAGGGCCTTGTGGAGGTCTCTGGACCTGCCCCCATTTGCTCCCTAGATGCCCATGGGGACTCCTGGGCAGAGGCACCCAATCGCCCACTGCCACACTCCCCCACCCCACCACCCCCTTCCACCTGGTGGCCCCTGCCCCCCACGCAGCTGCCAGCAGTGCCTGGGCCCCAGGCCAGGGCCGGATCTGGCCCTTGCCACCCGCCTTAAGGAATGTGCCCTTCGCCATCTTGTTTTTCCACCCCCTGTCCTCACCCCCAGCACTCCACCCACTCCTCTGGGCCCCCTCTGCTGGTGGCAGAGGGGATGCCCCGGACCTTGGCCTTGCTCCCACCTGGAGGGGATCCCTGACCCTCCCAAATCCTCCATCCACAGAATACAGCCCATTTGGATCAGTTTGAACGAATCAAGACCCTCGGCACGGGCTCCTTTGGGCGGGTGATGCTGGTGAAGCACAAGGAGACCGGGAACCACTTTGCCATGAAGATCCTCGACAAACAGAAGGTAAGCATGGCTGGGCCAGGAGACCACCATCCTCCCCACACTGGGCCTTCACTCAGACTGTTCCCACTGCCTGAGTGGTCTCCCTGTCTGTCATTCACCAACTGTTTTCTGAGCCTCCATAATGTGCCAGACCCGAGGGCCAGAAGTGCCTGTGCTGCCTTCATGAAGCTTCCCCTCCAGACCAACCACTGATGGAAATCCAGGTAGTGGACATGGGTTCAGACACTTAGTCTATATCAAGGAAGTCAGAAGTCGTCCTGGGGAAAGTGTTGTATTTACATAGACCTTTTTTCTTTTCTTTTTTTTTAAAACGTATTTATTAGAGATAGCAAGAGAACACAAGCAGGAGTGAGGAGTTGGGGGTGGCAGAGGGAGAGGGAGAAGCAGACTCTTCGCTGAGCCAGGAGCTCGATGCAAAGCTCGATTCCAGGACCCTGGGATCCTGACCCCAGCCAAAGGCAGACACTTAACTGACTGAGCCACCCAGGTGCCCCACATAGACCTTGTTTCTGTAAATATTTTTGAGACCCTACTTTATGCCAAACACTGCTGTAGGATAGCATTGTTCAGTAGAAACGTATTGCAAGCCATATATGGTTTTAAATTAAAAAAAAAAAAAGATTTTACTCGTTTATTCACGAGAGACAGGGAGAGGCAGAGACATAGGCAGAAGGAGAAGCAGGCTCCCTGCAGGAAGCCCGATGTGGGACTCGATCCCGGGACCCCGGGATCATGCCCTGAGCCAAAGGCAAATGCTCAACCACTGAACCACCTAGGCATCCCGGTTTTAAATTTTCTAGAAACTCCTTTTAAAAAGTAAAAAGAGGGATCCCTGGGTGGCGCAGCGGTTTGGCGCCTGCCTTTGGCCCAGGGCGCGATCCTGGAGACCCGGGATCGAATCCCACATCGGGCTCCCGGTGCATGGAGCCTGCTTCTCCCTCTGCCTGTGTCTCTGCCTCTCTCTCTCTCTCTCTCTCACTGTGTGCCTATCATAAATAAATAAAAAAATAAAATAAAATAAATAAAATAAAATAAAATAAAATGTAAAAAGAAATAGGTAGAATTAATTTCAGCAGCGTACTCTAATTAAGCCAGTATATCTACAATATTGTAATTTGAACATATGTAACCAGTGTAAAAATATCATTAACGAGATATCTCAATTTTTTTCTGTATTAAGTCTTCAAAGTCCCGTGTGTATTTTATACTTACATCTCTTCAGATGTTAAGTCTTTACTTTTCTAGTCTTCACTTTCTAACAAGAAAAAGCAGAGAGGTTGGAAAAGCATATTCACATAGCCCACGTTGTTCTAATCAAGCTTAAGTTACCCAGGAACTACCTTGAGTGTCCTTCTTTTTTTAATAGATTTTTTTTTTTAAGATTTTATTTATTTTTTTGAGAGAGAAGGAGCACATGCACACAAGTAGGGGGAGCAGCAGAGGAGAGGAAGAAGCAGCTTCCCTGCTGAGCCGGGAGCCCAATATGGGGCTTGATCCCAGGACTCTGAAATCATGACCTGAGCCCAGTGCAGACGCTTAACCGACTGAGGCACCCAGGCACCCCAAGCCTCCGTTTGTAAATTTTTTTTCAAGACTTTATTTATTCATGAGAGACACACACACACAGAGAGAGAGAGAGAGGGAGAGACAGGCAGAGGGAGAAGCAGGGTCCATGCAGGGAGCCCAAGGTGAGACTCAATCCCGGGTCTCCAGGATCAGGCCCTGGGCTGAAGGCAGTGCTAAACCGCTAAGCCACCTGGGCTGCCCTGTAAGTTTTTTTTAATTTAATTTATTATTCATGAGAGACACAGAGAGAGAGGCAGAGACACAGGCAGAAGGAGAAGCAGGCTCCCCACAGGGAGCCCAATGTGGGACTCATTCCCAGAACCCCAGGGTCACAACCTGACCCAAAGGCAGATGCTCAACCACTGAGCCACCCAGGTGCCCCCCAATATCCATTTTTAAATGTTCATTTTAGAAACTTAAAATTTTATTTTACTATTTTTTTTAAAGATTTTATTTATTTATTCATGAGACATAAGCAGAGGGAGAACCCAGCTCCCGGGGCAGCCTGTGGCTCAGTGGTTTAGCTCTGCCTTTGGCCCAGGGCGTGATCCCGGAGACCCGGGATCGAGTCCCATGTCAGGCTCCCTGCATGGAGCCTGCTTCTCCCTCTGCCCCTCTCTCTCTCTCTCTGTGTGTGTGTGTCTCTCATGAATGAATGAATAGATAGATAGATAGATAGATAGATAGATAGATAGATAGATAGAAAGAAGAAGAAGAAGAAGAAGAAGAAGCAGCCAGCTCCCTGTGGGGAGCCCAATGCGGGGCTCGATCCCAGGACCTTTGCTATCAAGACCTGAGCCAAAGGCAGATGCTCAACCACTTGAGCCACCCAGGTGCCTCTAAAACTTAAAATTTGGGATCCCTGGGTGGCGCAGTGGTTTAGCGCCGGTCTTTGGCCCAGGGCGCGATCCTGGAGACCCGGGATCGAATCCCACGTCGGGCTCCCGGTGCATGGAGCTTGCTTCTCCCTCTGCCTGTGTCTCTGCCTCTCTCTCTCTCTCTCTCTCTGTGACTGTCATAAATAAATTAAAAAAAAAATTAAAAAAAATAAAAAAATAAAACTTAAAATTTTAAACTGTGTTCCCTAGTCAACTAGCCACATCTCAGGAGCTCAGCAGCCATACATGGCTAGTGTGGACTCAACAGACAGTGCAGGTGTAGACCTATGGCACCAGCTGTGAGCAGAGCAGGAAATGCCCGAGCATAGCAGATCAGAGCTGACCAAAGGGCCAACCTGCCTGCATGAGTCATGTGGGCCTAACACTGACTAGCTGCGAGTGACCTTGGGCAAGTCACTTCCCTTCTCTGCATCTGAGTCTTCCAAACTGCCACATGCACAGTGCATACCCCTCAGGGCTCTTGTCACTATGTGTGAGGTACCTGCTGGGGACAGCTGAGGAACAATTAGCCTCGGGTTTGAGTGGCTGTGGTGAGGTTGCTCTGAATGCAGGGAAGGTATTTCTAAAGCCCCCATCTCTTAGGCACTACTCTCGCTTGTCTTTTCAGTTTCAGCTTAGCTGTCCCTTCCTCCAGGAAGCCTTCTCTGACTCTCCCAACCCCCTGACTTTACTAGGCCCTACTTCTGGGCATCAGGGAAAAGAAGGAACCTCTCACATGCCCTCCTCTCTGCCCTCCCTTCCTGCCCCTACAGGTCGTGAAGCTGAAACAGATTGAGCATACCCTGAACGAAAAGCGCATCCTGCAAGCGGTCAACTTCCCGTTCCTCGTCAAACTCGAGTTCTCCTTCAAGGTGGGGTCCCCAGGCCAGGGTCACTGCTTAGCAGTACAGCCTCAGGTTCCCCAAAGCTGGGTGGGGGCTGAGGGCAAGCAGTGGCTGCCTGAGGAAGCAGGCCCACTAACAGGAAAGAAGGAGAGCCCCAGAGGAGGGATGCTAGGGGGCACGAGTCAGCCTGAGACTCTGGTAGACCTGTGTTCAACTCCTGGACCCGCCAGCTTCCAGCTTGAATACCTTGGGCAGATCACCAATCTGGCTGACATCCCTCCAAACCACCTCTCCGTTTTACAGCAAGCACCTGACACACGACCACTGGCCCGAACTGCGCCATGCAGCCTGGATTCCAATGCCAGCTCTGTGTACCTCCAGGCCACGTGACGCTGGCAAGCGACTTCACTGGCCCTGAGACTCAGTTTCCTTGTCTATAAAATGGGCTCATAACAGTCCCCACCTAATGGGGTAGCCATGACCATTCCAAGCACAGTGTGAGTGCCCCACATGAGCTATTTTAGGTATTGTCCTAAGCTGTGATCACAAGATCTGGGGACAGCCATTCAAGGCCTGAGACCCAGACAGTCACACAGGCCCCGTGTGTGATTTAAAGCTCTGCTGCTGTCATCTTAAAAGTTGCAGTAATTTTAACAAGGGGCTTCACATTTTCGTTTTGGCGCCCCACCAGTTCTCTAGCCCATCCAGGTCCCATTTTACTGTTGACAAAACTGTAATCTCAAGCTTTGGTCAAGACAGTCTCAGACATGAGCCACCATGGAGTCCTCTCTCCAGCCCAGGCATGTTGGCTGGTCCCCTTACACCCCACCTGCCAGCCCTCACTTTGACCCCCTAGAAGCAGGATACCAGCTGCCCTTCCTACTTTGTGGGCAGAAGGAAATGTGACGGGTGGCTCAGGGAGTACAGTGCCTGGCACTCCAAACAGGCTTCATATGGGAGCCAGGATTGTTGTTGTCACTTCATTTTCATACATCTATGGAAGGACACCAGGCCTTCAAATGGGGCCCAGGGCCTGGGGAGCAGGGGCCTGATCAGCCGCTGCTTCCCACAGGACAACTCGAATTTATACATGGTCATGGAGTATGTGCCTGGCGGGGAGATGTTCTCGCATCTGCGGCGGATCGGAAGGTTCAGGTGAGCCGACCAGCCCCTGCCACATAGCAGGCCTGGGGTGTCCACAGGTGTCACCATATGACCAAGCCATCTGGGGATGGGCAGTGGGCTTTCCCTGTCTGTCTAGGTTCTTGTTGCCCCTGAGCCGAGGAATCTGTGATTTCCCAGCCACCACAAAACAGAAGCAGTGACTTAAAGCTCACTGTTTAAGTTGGCAGTTTAAAAATTTATGCTATCATTTTTCTTAGTTATATAGATATGCACTTTGCATACAACAGAATACACAGATGTTCAACGTTCTGCCCTCTGTGTTTTCACAGTTGCATACACTTGTGAAACCACCACCCAGAATACCATGGAGAACATTTCCATCCCCCCAGAAAATTCCCTCAAACCCCGTTCTTGGCAAATTGCCGCCCTGAAGAAGGCAGTTGTCCTTTCTGGTTTCAAACACCATATATATGTTTGGTCTGGGTTTGGACATGATATAAATGGAATCACAGAGTTTATAGTATTCTGTTCCTTTCTTTTGCTTCACATAATCGTCTTAACATCTAGACATGTTGTTGAGCATATTCATCGTTTGTCGTGGTAGTGGTGTTGGGGACAATTCCCATTGTATGAATCTACTGCACTCTGATCATGTTCCTCTGTTAATGGACACGCGGGCTCTTTCCCATTTGGTGCCATATATGAAGAAGTCTGCTCTGCTTATGTTTTGGAATAGCTGGGCTGGGTCGGCTCTGTCGGGCAGCTGCTAGACCATTTGTGGGGGTGGGCAGGTCATGCTGGGCATAACCACCTTCACTCACCTGTCCCCTCCCCAATCATCCCCACTAGTGAACCGCATGCCCGCTTCTATGCGGCCCAGATCGTCCTGACCTTCGAGTACCTGCACTCACTTGACCTCATCTACCGGGACCTGAAGCCGGAGAACCTCCTCATTGACCAGCAGGGCTACATTCAGGTGCCTACCAGGGCAGGCGAGGGGCAGGCCCAGGCGGCTGTGGGCTGGATCCATGCCCCTCCCGCCCTCCTTCCTGGCCAACAGCCTTTTCTTGTGCCCACAGGTGACAGACTTCGGTTTTGCCAAGCGTGTAAAAGGCCGCACCTGGACCTTATGCGGGACCCCCGAGTACCTGGCCCCAGAGATCATCCTGAGCAAAGTAGGCACTCTCTGCCCATCCTACTGCCCTGAGGCCCATTCCACCTGCACCCCTCCCCATCCTCCTCTCCTCACATCATACTCCCCTCTCACTCCAGGGCTACAACAAGGCTGTGGACTGGTGGGCCCTAGGGGTTCTCATCTACGAGATGGCCGCTGGCTACCCACCCTTCTTTGCTGACCAGCCTATCCAGATCTACGAGAAGATTGTCTCTGGGAAGGTGAGACCTGGATATGGGGGCTAAGCCCCCAGACAGATCCTTCCCCACCAGTCCTGCTCACCGTGGAGCCCTGCATGTTGTCAGAACAATCTAGAAGTTCATTAAGTTAGGCCAAGCAATGAAGCTGGATGCACCAGTCACATTAAGAGGCCAGCACCTCACACCACCTCCCCATCTAATCCTGGACCCACACTGCTGATAACCTCAAGGGCTTCCAGAACCCCAAGGCTCACCTGAACACCTTCCCTGCCCGACAGGAGGCTCTGTTTGCCTCCAGTCGTCCCACTGAGCATGAGTCTTCACAAGTTACACAGCAGAAAAACAACTGTGTGCAGTTCCTGGGTACTGCTCCAGACCCTGCAGGGTCACTTAGGGTATGCAGCCCATATGTCCTCTCCCAAATGCAGACTTGCTAACTCTTGGGGTACGGGGTGGGGGGGGCAGAGCTGTCACAGAGTACAGTATGTGCTCACCATCCCATGATGCACCCCCTCGGCTGTACCCCAGCACTTGAAAGGAGTGACGAAGCTCAGGCTTGGAGAACATGATCATAGACCCCACCACGGGCTCAAGACAAGGTGGGAGCCCCACCTCTGCCCTCAGCTCACTGCCTTGCTGAGAGGACCCAGCCATCTGTCCACTTAGCCCGGGAATTAGTGGAAGCAGCTCCCAGCTCAGCCTGGGACGCTGGCCTAGCTCCAAGTCTAGCTCAGCCACCCATTGGCTTTGAAACCTTGAGCAAGTGCCTTTGCCCCTCTGAGCTTCATCCTACCCATATGAGAACTGGGGAACCAGATGCTTGCCTCTCCAAGAAAGAAATCAGCTGCAACATGGGGTCACTAAAAAAGAAAAGACAAGGTGTCTGTCACCAGGCAGAAAAGAAATTGTAGGGAAAATGGCCCAAAGTAGAAAAAGAAAAAAACATAGATTGTTCTGAGGGGGGCAAGAGAAGAAGATGACCATAACTGCCTTCTTTGTAGCATTTTACAGTTCTCACACGCTCAGCAGTATTATCTCCCTCCTGTAACTCTGGGATATCTGCCCCAAGCCCGAGAGACAGGCGCAGGCCCAGAGAGGTTAAAGGCCATGGCCAAGGTCATACAGCATGTAAGCTGGAGAGCCGTGCTGGAAGTTAGTTGTGGCAGCTGTAAACCCAGTGACTACTTGCAAACAAGGCTTTGGGGAAATTTCTGGAAGAGTTGAACTGAGCCTTAAAGAGTGGAAGAGCCTTAGCTATGGAGAGAAAGAGGGGGAAACAGAAGAACAGTCATCTCTCTCAGAACCATGAATATTTCAGAAGTCCCCAGGCCCCAGCAGAGCTGCCTTGGGAAGCAGTGGCTAAGAATGCAAGTTCTGGAGTCCAACAGACCCAAGATGAAACCCCCCTGTCCCGCTCCTCTGTGTGACCTCTGGCAAGCTGTTTAACCCTCCTGAGCCTCTTTCCTCATCTCTAAAATGGGAACCATCCTAGTCTTTACCCCAGAGCAGCAGTTCTCAGAGTGGCCCCCTATCCAGAAGCATCAGCATGGCTGAGGAACAGGCTAGACCTACAGGTTCTCAAACCTCCTGACTCAGATACTCCAGGGGGCCCCACACGCTGTTTTAATGGGATTCTAAAGCACACTCAAGTTGGGGGTTCTCCACCCAGTAGGGCTGTTAGGAGGCAAAGGTAGCATTCTGGGATCCCCAGACTCCAGACAAACGCCCCACCCTGTCTGTGTTGACCCCCTCCCCAGGTGCGGTTCCCGTCCCACTTCAGCTCTGACCTGAAGGATCTGCTACGGAACCTGTTGCAGGTGGACCTCACCAAACGCTTCGGGAACCTCAAGAATGGGGTGAACGATATCAAGAACCACAAGTGGTTTGCCACAACTGACTGGATCGCCATCTATCAGAGGAAGGTGGGCCGCTTCCTTTCCCCTGTCCTACCACTGAATATGTGCACCAAAGGCTTCCGGAGCCGGCCATGAGCTCCCAGGGAGGGCTGTCAGTGGAGAGATGGAAAAGGCAATGGCATCTGAAAATGGGCCACAGGTTTGAAGTCAATCTAGCTGAGGCACCTTAGAGCGGTGGGGGTCTAGAAGTGGGACCGTGGGGTCATTTGGTCACTCTGAGACCTTGGGTAGGAGACACCCCTCTGGTGAATTGGCTATAATGAGATTCTTAGGTTGTAAAGGTGAGTCCACACTCTCATGGTAAGTTCAGGCCTGGGTCAGAGTAAATTATCTCATGAATGTTAGGCCATTCATATTTATTGTTGTAAGGGTGATTATGTTGACTACTGAGGTCTGAGTGGTTCTTGACCCCTCTCCAGGTGGAAGCTCCCTTCATACCAAAGTTTAAAGGCCCTGGGGACACGAGTAATTTTGACGACTATGAGGAGGAAGAGATCCGAGTCTCCATCAATGAAAAGTGTGGCAAGGAGTTTACTGAGTTTTAGGGGTGTGCCTGTGCCCCCATGGGTTTTCTTTCTTTTTTTTTTTTTTTTTGGTGGGGGGGTGGGAGGGTTGGATTGAACAGCCAGAGGGCCCCAGAGTTCCTTGCATCTAACTTCACCCCCACCCCACTCTCCAGGGTAGGGGGAGCAGGAAGTCAGATATTCAGAGGAATGGAAACACCAGCTGCTCCCCCTTATCCCCTCACCTTCCTGCCCCCTACCCCTACTGCTTTTGCCTTCCTCCTCCCCAGAAGCCCACCACCCAGCCCACTTCTGCCTGTTTTAAATGAGTTTCTGAGTTCCAGTCAGACCATGTCTTGCTGGCATATTCAGGGACAGGGTGTGGAAAGAGGGGCCCAAACTTAACTCCATCCCCACCTACCCTGAACACAGGCATCACCCACTAAGGGCAAATGAAGGAAAGACCAGCCTTCTCTTCAGAGCAGTAGTGCCTGGAAAGGAGAGATTTTAGTGACCTCTTCAGTGGGCTGCTTGCTAGAATTTAAAAAAGAAAAAAATAATAATAATCTTATTTAAGTTCCACCAGTGCCTCCCCCCCTTCCTCTACCCCTACCCCTCCCAGCCCCCCCCTTTCCCAAATCCATTTTAACAAGGCTGGGAAGCAGACTGAATTTGTAAAGGAAGGAGCTGGGGTTCAAACCTCCGCCCCAAGCTGCTAATCTACTCTGCTCCTCTGCCCACCTCCCCCCAACCCAGGGGGTCCCCTGGCAAGCCTGGAAGGGTCTCAGCCCCTTTAGGAAGCCCCTGCCCCCTTCCACCCCAACAGACCTTTCTTCACCCTTGGGCTTCTGGCCGAGACAAAGAAAGCAGCTGCCCCTGTCCCTGCCAAAGAGGAGTTGTCCCCCGAAAAGATAGAAGGGGAGCTCCAAGCCCAGGGTCTTTCCTCCCACCAGCACTACCCCTAAACTCTAATTTTATTCTGAGCTAGATTTTAATGCCCAGCCTCCTCAGCTCAGTTGGGAAGGCAACCCCCCCCCCCAAAAAAAGGCAAAGCCCTCCTCCCCCTCACGTCCCGGGTTCAAGGCCAGGGTTGCTAGGGAGGGGCTGCCCATTTTATTCACCCAGCAGCCTCCGTCCCCTTCCCCCCATCCTGGGCGCTCCTCCTCTGCTTAGCTGTCAGCTGTCCATCACCCCTTCTCCTCCCCCCATTTGTGCTTTTTTTCTCTCTGAACAGAAAAGTGGGGAGCCACCCCCATTCATCCCCATATTTGTCCCTCTCACAACTTCTCCCCATCCAGGAGGAGCTCTCAGGCCTGGGGTGGGGCCCCGGGTGGGCACGGGGGCGATTCAACCTGTGTGCTGCGAAGGACGCGACTTCCTCTTGAACAGTGTGCTGTTGTAAACATATTTGAAAACTATTACCAATAAAGTTTTGTTTAAAAAAAAAGTGTTGCTGGTGTTCCCGACTTCGGTCACCCACCCACATACCCCCGGGGGTTTGGACAGAGAATTTCGGACCCCAACGTCCTGGCTAATCAAGATCTGGCCTGGAGTCCCTGTAAAGCCGGGTTTGGCCAGAATTCCGCCACTACCCCCCCCCGCAGGAGAAGGGGGCGCCAAACTGCCCTTTGACCCTGGATTCGGGGTCCCCGAATCTGCGGCGCGCCCCCTCGGCGTCCAGCCCTGGGCCGAGAGGGCGCTCTAGGGAGGCGCTGGGGCCGGCGCGCGCCGGGAGGCCGAGCGGCGGCGGGGGCGGCCCTGGCAGGGGGGGTAGAGGGTGGGGGGGACCGTGCGCGCCCCCCTCCCCGCAACCTCGGCGCGGAGCGCGGGGCCAAGCGCGCCTCTGGGGCGCGGGGGCGGCGACAGTCCGAGGGTCCCCGCGGCGCTCGGCAAGCGCAGCGGCCCGGCCCGCGGGCGGCGAGTTCCCGGTAAGTGCGGTCCCGAGAGCGGAGCGCGCCGGGGAGGCGTGGAGAGGGGGGCTGGGCGCCGGGGACGTCTGGGTCCCGCGCCCAATGGCTGGAGGGCGGCCGAGCGCCGCCCGCCCGCCCCGCCCGCCCCCTCTCCCCTCCCCCCGGCGCTCCCCTCCCCCTCCCCCGCCCGCCGCTTTCCCCCGCCCCCGCCCCGGCGCCAACTCCACGGCGCCTCCTTAAAAAGCGCGCGGGAGTTGTAAGGGGGGGCCGGAGCGAGCCAGAGTGAGCGAGAGCGCAGGGTAAAGGGGGCGGGCGGGGGGCCCGGGCTCCACCTTAAAAGCGGGCGCGTGGGGGTGGGAGGGAGGAAGGCGGGCGGCGGGGAGGAGGGAGGGAGGGAAGGAAGGGGGGCCGGAGTGTCCCGGGCGCAGGGCGCGCGTGCGGCGGCGGCGGCGGCGGGGAGGGGCCGGCCGCGCCGCGCTCCCCTCCTCCCTCCTCGCATCCCCGGCCCCGCGCGCGCCCAGCAGAAGCGGGTCTGTGTGTGCGTGCGTGCGAGTGAGTGAGTGTGTGCATATTTTTTTCTCTCTTTTCTTTCTCTCTCACTGTTTTTTCTCTCTCTCGCTCCCTCTCTCTCGCTTTTTTTTTTTTTTTTTTTTTTTTTTTTTGCAAAGAAACAGCAGCGCCGCCGCCGCTCCGCCGAGGCGCTGCGCCCCCCGGGGGGGGGAGGCGGAGGAGGCGGGCAGCGGCGGAGGGAGGGGAGCCGGGGAGGGGGGCGCCGCGCTGGGAGGGAGGCAGCGCGCACGGTGCAGCCGGGCCGGGCGGGAGGCATGGCGGGGCCCCCGGCCCTACCCCCGCCGGAGACGGCGGCGGCCGCCACCACGGCGGCCGCTGCCTCGTCGTCCGCCGCTTCCCCGCACTACCAAGAGTGGATCCTGGACACCATCGACTCGCTGCGCTCGCGCAAGGCGCGGCCGGACCTGGAGCGCATCTGCCGGATGGTGCGGCGGCGGCACGGCCCGGAGCCGGAGCGCACGCGCGCCGAGCTCGAGAAACTGATCCAGCAGCGCGCCGTGCTCCGGGTCAGCTACAAGGGGAGCATCTCGTACCGCAACGCGGCGCGCGTCCAGCCGCCCCGGCGCGGAGCCACCCCGCCGGCCCCGCCGCGCGCCCCCCGCGGGGGCCCCGCCGCCGCCGCCGCCGCCGCCGCTGCCGCCGCCGCCGCGCCGCCGCCCACGCCCGCCCCGCCGCCACCGCCCGCGCCCGTCGCCGCCACCGCCCCGGCCCGGGCGCCCCGCGCGGCCGCCGCCGCCGCCGCCACAGCGCCCCCCTCGCCCGGCCCCGCGCAGCCGGGCCCCCGCGCGCAGCGGGCCGCGCCCCTGGCCGCGCCGCCGCCCGCGCCCGCCGCTCCTCCGGCAGTGGCGCCCCCGGCCGGCCCGCGCCGCGCCCCCCCGCCCGCCGTCGCCGCCCGGGAGCCGCCGCTGCCGCCGCCGCCACAGCCGCCGGCGCCGCCACAGCAGCAGCAGCCGCCGCCGCCGCAGCCACAGCAGCCGCCGGAGGGGGGCGCGGCGCGGGCCGGCGGCCCGGCGCGGCCCGTGAGCCTGCGGGAAGTCGTGCGCTACCTCGGGGGCAGCGGCGGCGCCGGCGGCCGCCTGACCCGCGGCCGCGTGCAGGGGCTGCTGGAGGAAGAGGCGGCAGCGCGGGGCCGCCTGGAGCGCACCCGCCTCGGAGCGCTCGCGCTGCCCCGCGGGGACAGGCCCGGACGGGCGCCGCCGGCCGCCAGCGCCCGCGCGTCGCGGAGCAAGGTGAGCGCGCTGGGGAAGGGGGGGTGCCGCGCGGTAGGCAGGTGCGGGCGAAGTTGGTGGCGGGGCGCGAGTCCCGGGAGGAACCGGGTGGCGGGCGGCCCTGGCTCTTCGCGTCTTTCCTGCGGGTTCGGCGAATGGTGACCTTGGCAAGTGACTTAATCTTGCCGAGCCTCAGTTTCCTCCGCTTGTAGAAAGCGACTTAATAGCAGTAGCGACCCCTTGAGGTTGTTGAGCGAGTTTAGTGAGATTTGGCTACTGAGGGCTTTATTAACACAGAGCCTGGCACGGACTGAATGCGTAAAAGTTAGTCCGTGTTGATATTAAAGGTGGGTGTTGAGCACACCACTCGCTCCTGGATCGCAGGGTCTGGGCCCGGGGCCGGAACAGCCACTAACCTTTCCCGCCTCTCTCCCGGGCACCAGAGAGGTGGAGAAGAGCGAGTGCTTGAGAAGGAAGAGGAGGAAGAAGATGACGAAGATGAGGATGAGGAAGATGATGTGTCCGAGGGCTCGGAGGTGCCTGAGGGTGACCGTCCAGCAGGTGCCCAGCACCACCAGCTTAATGGCGAGCGAGGCCCTCAGAGTGCCAAGGAGAGGGTCAAGGAGTGGACGCCCTGTGGACCCCACCAGGGCCAGGATGAAGGCCGGGGACCGGCACCGGGCAGTGGTACCCGCCAAGTGTTCTCCATGGCAGCCATGAATAAGGAGGGGGGGTCAGGTAGGGATCTCTGAGTTGAAGGGTGTTGCCTGGTGGGGAGGAACTGAACCCCAAGACAAAGCCATAGGCGTACGTGTTTTCTCTCCTAGCCTCTGCTGCCACTGGGCCGGACTCCCCATCCCCTGTGCCTTTGCCCCCAGGAAAACCAGCCCTGCCCGGGGCTGATGGAACCCCCTTTGGCTGTCCGTAAGTTGGGGTATTTGAGACATGGGGGTGTTGCCTACATGTGTGTAAGAACCGGGAGGATCGCGGCTCACTGCTTGCGTCTGTTCTGACACAGTTCTGGGCGCAAAGAGAAGCCGGCTGACCCTGTCGAGTGGACGGTGATGGATGTGGTCGAGTACTTCACCGAGGCCGGCTTCCCGGAGCAGGCAACAGCTTTCCAAGAGCAGGCGAGTTCCCATCCCTCGGTGTACCCCTCTATTCCAGGGCTTCAGTGGGAGGGCATCTGCTCTGACCCTGCTTTGACCCTGCTCGCTCGTTCTCTCTCTGTCCCACCCAGGAAATTGATGGCAAGTCTTTGCTGCTCATGCAGCGCACAGATGTGCTGACTGGCCTGTCCATCCGTCTGGGCCCAGCCCTGAAAATCTACGAGCACCACATCAAGGTGCTACAGCAAGGCCACTTTGAGGATGACGACCCCGATGGCTTTCTGGGCTGAGCGCCCAGCCTCCCCTCTGCCCCAGCCCATTCCAGCCCCCATCTCACCCAAGACCCCCAGAGTCCAGGAGCTGGATGGGGACACTCTCCGCCCTCAACAGATTCCAGTGAGGGGGCGTTCTTCCCTTCTCATCTCTTCCCTGTGTTTTCCTAGCATACACACATTTGGCCCCCAGC